AATTTACTATCAATAAAGCTTTAAAATTCACTATATTGGCCTAGAAGGAAGAGACAATAACATTTTCAGTCCCACAAAGAATTGATATAGACACTCATATACATGAAATCAATAAGATAAATGTTTCATCTTGGGCATTTTTGCTTTCAATAAGTAAATTATAAAGAATTTTTAATGAAAATATGTGTAAGATCTTCAAAATTGTTTATAAAAATAAAATATATAAAGTATGTATATTAATAAAATATATGTATATAATTCATCGGTTAGGTTATTTCTTTGGTTTTTTTGAATAAAATCATAATCAAACCAAATACTATCGGTTTTCAAACATCTAAAACCAAACCAAACCAAACCCAAATAAAATACGGTTTGGTTTGGTTTTTCGGTTTGGATCGGTTTTTATCCAAACTGTGAACACCCCTAATAAGAACAATGTTATATATATATCTATATAAATTTGACTTTGGTTAGATCCTTAATTCACATCATGATATTTCCTCCGATCCATTTTAGTTGTTGTATTGGCTAAAAATAACTAATCCAATATATAATTAATCACACACAAAAGCGAATCGGGATTTGAAGATTTTTGGTGCACCAATATTACCTTGGCTCAAACATAAGCTCTAAGATAAACTTAAAATAAAAAAGTGAAATAACACTCTAGCTATATTCAAACTCAGGTCTCGCATGTGGATACTCTAGCTTGTACAAGCAACGCAATGACAGTCTTATGCTTTTCATGAGACTCTAGCTATATTCAAACTCAAGGATTTTCACATAATCTTAATCGTCTACCTAGACATAATAATCATTCATTATGCATATTCAAGTATTTCATCCATTGCCAGACTGAAACAAGTTTCATTGCATCTACTACTGGAGAATATATCTCTATTTAATAATGTCAGGATTTTTGCGAAAACCCTTTATGCCCCGAGGCACAAACCGCACTTTATATCTTATGGTTATACTTTCGTACAATGATTCATCTGTACCACACTGACATTATATTTTGATCCATGAACTATAAGATCAAAAACATCACTTTTCTAAGTGAAACAAAATATACTTGAATAGTGCCAATCATTAATCTGTCCACACTATATGACAGATTCAAATTTAAGATCCTCATAAAAAAATTTTATAGCATTGAGTGCTACTTCATATCAAAGATACTGTTGACGGTCATTTTGATATCGATTCCAATACGACATAACTTATCGAGATCTCTTCATTATTCATCATTTTCAGGTACCTGAACCTTTGCCAAGGTTTTATGAAGTGTTATGTCATAGTTCTCTTTCAAAGCACTTACCTCATTATCATGATCATTTTGATAATTTGCTCCCCTCCTTCCTCAAGGAGTTTTACGTTGGAATCGATTGGTCTATCCCGCTTATGCGTACCATAGACTCTGTCCTTCAAGGACTATTTATTGGAGCATTTGCAGCTTAATTAAAATATTGGATCAGCAAATACATCTGGCAAATTATTTGCAACATTTTGCAAATTAATTATCTCTTGAACTTCAAGTTCACATTTTTTTTAAACGAGGATCTAGATAACTCACCTCACACATAATTTTCAGCTGCTAAACACATATCCCCCTAATGTTAGGAAATTTAACATTTACCCCCGACCTCATTTGGGGATCTATCTTTGTGCATGGTGGAGCAATAAAATCATATGTGCACATATCAATTTTTAAATGGAAATTATTTGATTTCTGACCCTGAAACAATTGTGATGGGAGAACCTTGTTGGCTTGATGCATACATGTTAAATAAACTCATCTCATACCAAATTTTATTTGAGAGATTTGTTCTCATAATCAATGGTCTAGCTATAATTGGAGGCAAACAATTTATGCTAAACCAACCAGTATTATCAACATAATTTTATAGTTTGGAACTGTGCTCTTAATTTAACAATTTGAGCAAACAACTTTACAAAAACCAATTTGTAAGTTGAAACAAATGCACATGTGATCATACCATAGATGTATGTATTAAATCATAATAGTAAGTGGTCCACATGGCAGGTGAACGGGCCCATATACACCTTTTTATATGTTTCAAATAATTTTAGGAGATATAATCACAACCTTAGCTGGTACAATGATCATTTTATCATGAGAACAAGAAACACATGAGAATTCTTGAAGAATATTTTATTTCTTCAACATATAGTCACGTGAATTCTCAATTTCTTTTGCATCACATCTGAACCAGAATGGTCAACTGGTTTTGCCAACTAATATTTATTTTAGTAAACTTTTATAGTTTACTTTTGCATGTGATTCCTTCATCATGC